TCCTATCAGTTCTGTTTTCTGTAGAAACACCTTCAATTCAAGTCGTGTAAATTCTGCTAGGCTGCTGAGTAAGACAATTCACAACATTAAAAACTACACAACTACATGCAAGTGGTGTTAAATGCCAAGTAGCATCAATCAAGGTGTTAGCTTTTATATGAATGTTTAATACTTAGTTGCCTTTATTACCTTTCTGAAACAAAGGGGGCTGTTTCTGTGATATTAAGAATGCTGGTAGTCTATGAAACAAAGTCATTTCACTTTGGTGTTTTTTTTCTGTGCTAAGGTTTCAAGTGTCAGAATTTTACCCATATGGACTCCCCTCCCTGCCTTTTACCAATCATAGGAAGAGCATTTTTCCCTATTCCCCAGTTCTAGATTTGTGTGAGGGGCTTAAACTTTTTTTTTTCCAGTATGGAGAATCCATATATAGTTAGAAACATAAATAGCAGATATTTATTGGGCCAGCAAGGGGTAGCTATTTACTGTATATTTCAGAGAGTGTGTCTGTATGTCTGTCTGTTGCCCAGCCCGGAGCCATGCATCCCTCCCCCTTCTATGCCTGCTGCAGCTGCAGTGGCCATGGACAGGCACTTCTCACATGTCCCCAAGCTACTGCTCTGAGGGAAGGCTGCAGTTGTCCCCTCTCCCTGGGACAGTCTGCATACTGAACCCCTCATTCCCACCTGCACCCCAGAACAATAGCTGTAAATGAAGAAAAATAAATCCTTATTTGATTTAAGCATGCGAGCAACACCAGGTAAATTTTCTACTTCTTTATTTTCCTGTGGTTGGCTCTCTTGCACAGCACAGTAGTCACCCAAGTGAGAACAACTACACAATTCCTTGCATCAGTTTATAAAGAGAAAGAGTGGGCGTGTGTGTGTGTAAATTTGGGATTATATCATTTATATCAAAAGCCCTGCATATTGGGAATTTTAAATTCAAAGCTTTTATTTTCCCCTGTAGTTTATTGTACAGATTTTAGAACCAAAAAAACTTGGATTTAAGCACATGTATTGCTTTTAAGTTAACCAAAGTTCTTTCGTGAAACAGTGACTACTGCAAAATCAAGATGTTCAGAACCCTTTAGGCGTGAGGATGATCTCACAGTATCTCACTTTTGTGGCTGGAATGTAAAAATAACTCTGTTTTTTGTTATATTGTTAGATATTACAGTTTTGAAAAACAACCTCCTCCCACACAATTGCAATTTGTCTTCAAAAGAGCATGAGTACAGGATTTGCAGATCAGCTTGGAGTCATCAAATTATTTCTTACCCTTTTACAGATCACACACAGCAGCAAGAGACCAACGAATGTGTCTCAGCACTGCAATAGATGTAGTGCTACAAATTGGATATTTATTCATGGAATGTGCCTTTTTATGCTGTCCAAATGTCTTTAACATGTCAGAGTTTGAAAGACTACTTTCACCAATGTGTCTTTTCCAGAATGAAAAGAATATATTAGGCTATGTACAAAATGTAAACAATGTTGGCTGGGTAGTATTATCTCTTATCAGTCTGGACAGAAGGTCTGAAGACAGACCAATGTTTTTCAATGACTTCTGAAATTTTAGCACAGTGATTTAACTCGTTTGTTTTAGAAGACTGTGAAGAAATCCAGTAAAGGAATTGTGAAAAATATAGGGGAAAATTGAGATTTTTATGCTAGCTTTTATAAAGAAATTGGAGTGTATTTTATAGATTTGAGAGAATGTCAACTCATCCAGTGTACCTACAGCTACCAATAAGCATGGAATGATTTAACTCCTCCTGCAGTTGGTGTCCAAACAAACAAACAAAAAAATTAGTGACATGGAAAAATTAAATAATCCTAATGAATTTAAAGAACTGTACAGGATAAAAGCACTGTCATACTTAAAGACCCACATCAACGTCTGTCCCTGATTTTTGCAAAGGATGTGCTCTTCAACTTGGATAGCTGTAAATGAGGTATTACCAATATGCACGACATTTGCAGTTCTAGAGCACCTTTCACCTGCGGGTGTGATGTTAAAGTGTCCCTTGTTATGAATGGATTTAGCTGAATCCTCTCATTCTTTAATTGTAGTGTTTTCAGTTTCCCATGTCTTGTAACATGCTGGAAGCGCGCTTGGTTTCGAATCCCACTTTTCCTACACACGCCCTCCTCTGTAACTGAAATACAGTAGAACTACTACTATAAGCTTTTCAGGGCAGAGATTGTTTCTTCCTGTATGTTTGCACCACACCTACCACAATGGGAGTGCAAGCCTCTTGGAGCCTTTAGTAATGTAAATATTAGGGGTTAATTGTGTGGGGTTGGACAGGAAGCAGAGTGCCCGCTCTGAATGCCAGGAAGCTGTTCACTCAGAGGGAATGAGGTCAGAGGTGGTCAGGGAGTAGCCAGAATGTGATTTTGAGGGAGCAAACTATGGCCACTATTACAGTCAAAATGCTAGATGTCCTGTGGCCTGCCTGCAAATAGAGGTTGGCATAAATTTACCTTTTGCTTTGATTCCCACGCAAATCACATTTACTCAGACACTGCAAGGAGATCTTAATTTCATTCTTAATAACTATGACCCACTTTCAGGCTCAAAGATAGAGTGGAAAAATACAAATTTGTGCAGATTCTAAAAGTTGTTTTCCTAATCAAAAAGAAAGAAACCTTTTAGAGATAAAAGAAAAAGTACAAATACTGTACGACAGTACAAACATGTAGCCTGTCTTGAGCCAAGTGGATTATCTTGTAGTACAGGATACTAACACCAGTCACATGCAAATCTGAGTTTGAGGGTTGTTCAAATGTTTTCCCCACTCTTCAAAATCACAGAAAGTCTCTGTGCTAAATAAACGTTCTCCTGATCTCCTGCAAATACAGCATTCAGCTGCCTTCCAACTGTTTATTGTTGTTGGTGGGTTGGTTCAATAATTGTAAATGGACTCGATTGTAGAGCATGTAGTACAACTACTTTGCTTTTGTTTAGTCCGTCAGATAACTCACGAGTTTTGAATTTAAGTCTACCTCATTTAAAGAGGTCAAACGAAGTTTTAAGAACTGACTTTGTAAAAAGACAGCCAACATTTATAGAAATACTAAATCTCACATGAAAGGCTTGCAAAGCAAAAACAAGAAAGTACAGGAATTTCTATGACTGCCACGATTAATTAAATAATTTACTGTTCTAGTCTCATCTGTAGGGTAACATTTAAAAATGTCTACTGTATAATTGTATATATTTGTCCATCCAGTTTTGATAGATTTTTAAGCAAGCGTGCTTATTCACAGAAACAGCCACAGAACAGTGAAAGGATTGTATGAGAAGAACATGAGTCTGTTTTTAAAAAATCAAAATCGTTTGATCTTTACAAAAAAGAAAGCCTCTTTCCTCATGCTTCCATTGAAAGCAATAGAATCATTCGTTTCAGTGAATTTTATTAGGGCACAAAGGAATTATAACTGAAGTCCTAGTAATAAAATGCCCTGTTCCAAAGTGTTAACTCTTTTCTACCCGTCACTTTCACGTATCTGAAAGCACCATTTTTATGGAGTGGGAGGGAGGGTAGTATATTCCCTTGGCTGTATGTTAAATGCATGCTACCATAAAACACAGACAATTGAGTATTTTCCACTATATTCCTCCCAAATGGCACTACTGCTTTCTGTGCTCCTTTCCTGGTCCTTTTGTCAGAAGGTCATAATCCTCCTGATTTTCTTCTGTCCATTACACTCCCTCATTGCTGCACTCATTTTCCATCCCTGTTTGTTTTCCTTTTCTGGACTTTGTTGTTCCTTTTTGTACTATGGCACTGCTTTCTAGTCATACACTGCTCTGGTAACAGTGATTGATTCCCAATTCCAGCAAAAATAATACTTGAGAAAACTGGGTTTGTCATGTCTGCTGTCACTCACACAAATCATTTAGTTAAACTTGGCAGCAATGCTACAAGAGTTAATTGAACATCAGAGTGATAGAAAAATAAAAATGGAAAAGTGTATCTATATTTTGGATCACACCGCCATGAGGTGTATAAACAGTTCTGAGGAGTACATTCTGAACAACACATGAGTACATGATTGAATTAAATAAATGTTAAGCAAGCTAATGCTTTTTGATCCCACTTGCTTGTCTGCCTGTTCTTTCCAATCCTCTCCCCTTCCCATTCATCCTAGATTCCTTCAATCTCAGCCCCTTTCTCTTCCTTCTTTCAGAGTTGTGATACACACTTGATAACTGTGAATTAAGTGAACTCTAAGAAAAGCCTTCACTTCTGGAAGAATTCCTCTGTCCTTTTATTTACTTTTTAGCAGGTATATACAAAAATTTTTAAAAAAATCACAGATATGAATAAAAGCAACAGTAGGCCTATGAAAGGCAGAAAATAAGCGCCCATATGTTTATTATTCCAGCAATGAAAGTGACTGGATTTTGTCAAAAACAAAAAATTACTCTAGTTGGCACAACCTCAGTTCTGTTAATGGCAGCAGGTTTAGCTGTTAAAGTACATGAAGAGCTTTTAGAATTTAAAAAGATGTTGTAATGTTCATTCTTGGTTGCACAATACATACTAAACTGATGTGGTATGTATACTCTAATCCAGAGTCCATATTTCCATTTTCTCTGCTGTAGGACTCCTAAAAAAAAGTAACGTGCACAAGAAGAGATGCCTCTTGAACTAGGGTTGCCAGGTGTCTGGTTTTGAACTGGACAGTCCAGTATTTGAGCTTTCTGTTCAGGAAACAAATTGAGAAAATATAAATGTCTGGTATTTTCTAAATAAGATGTAATGTAGATTGTGGTGTAATGTCAAGTGTGTCTGGTATTTTTGTTGTAACCATCTGGCAAACCTATCTTGAACTGTGCTTCCCAGTATTGTGAATTGGCCAGCTTGCTTTCTTTTACATAGACTTGGTAATATTTGCAACTGAAGTGTAGGTAGCTTCTAAGAAAGAAACACATGACTCTCTCCTGCCCAGACATAATATTACTTCAAAGTTTTGGTTGTTTTGTAGGATGGCCGCCTACGAATAAATGACCAGCTGATTGCTGTGAATGGAGAGTCTCTTCTGGGGAAATCCAACCATGAAGCCATGGAGACACTGAGGCGGTCCATGTCTATGGAAGGGAACATTCGCGGGATGATTCAGTTGGTCGTTCTCAGGAGACTGGATAGACAAATGCAGGTGATGCATAAAACTTGTTCACGAATTAGACTTTTTCTTGTGACAAAGAATTGTATGCACAGTTCATAACAGTTATTAGGGCAATTCTCCGCCCACCATTTGGAAAATATCTCCTGTTTCTGTGTGAGAAAGATAGTGGGTGAAATCCTGGACTCATTGAAGTCAATTAGAAATCCTTCCTTCAGGGTTCGCTGAGCCATGGTGAGCCCTCTCACCAGCTGTGCTGTCCAGTGATCTGCACATGCACAGATCGCCCGAACAGGAAAGTAGATTGCATTATTTGTTGAGCCCAAGCCCTGCCTTCCTTATTTTCAGTAGGGTTACAATTTCACCAAACATATGGCGTTTAAATTAGAATTCTGGTTCCATAAATATTTACATCCCTGCACTGATCCAAAAGAGTGAACTCATACTTGCATAAAGAAGGCCACTTGAAAAAAAATTACTAGTTTTGAATTCTTCTGGTTTTTTTGGTCTCAGCTGTAGGGAATGAGGCAAGTGAGCTGTCTGCGTGACTTTGCTATCCTTGTAAAGAAATGTGCTGTCTGCACTTGGCTACTGAAGATGCTTATCTACCAGTCATGCAGATTTTAACTTTTACTGTGAAATAACGTGTGTGTGTGTGTGTGTGTGTGTGTGTGTAATCATAATCATGGTATAGGGCTCTGGGTGAGGCTTTTTGTTTTGTTTTTTAATAATCCTGTGGGAGCAGAGGTGTAAATTTTGCATTTTTTACATATAAAGCGAGAATGATTGCTCAGGGAAAGGGAATTTGTCTTCTCTTAGGAAGTGAATAGTTAACTCTAGGTGCTTGATTCCACTTCACTGATTATATTGAAACTTGCTTTACCACCCACCTTGAGTGACATTAGAAAAAACCTTTTTTTACTGTAACTGCACTGGGAAGTTGCTTTTCACAAAGGTTGTCTCATATAGATGCAGTGTGACATAGAAGAGAGGAAAACAAGGAAAGCAGGTGTGTGCTTTACCTGGGGCACTTTCTGAGATCATTGGCCAATATTTTCACATCTTTTCCTGTAGGAGACATAGACCCTTTATAGTCTTATTACCACGCTAAGACAGTCAATGTAGATGCCACTTCAGTCAGGGTAAAATCATATTGTAGGGAAGTGATTGTTAATTTAAGAAAGTAAGTTGCTTCAACTTGAGTTATCTTTCATGGTCTGTTTCTTATGTAAAACTAGTATTGTGCATTTATATTTATTGGGCGTTCTGATAGGTATGAATGATAACCCACTTACTGAGAAGACTAGAAAGATAGCTTATCATTGTTAGCTTCTTCTGTTTTTAAAAAAAGTCAACTTGGGCAAAAATACTACAACTGAATTATTGATGTAATAAAAATACAAGAAGCTTCTTTTCATAGTCAAAGTATATATTTTATACATTACCAGATGTATGAAACACGTAAACAATTTTGACACATGCCTGTGAAGAATACATAATGAGCTCTTGATTGAATCAAATTCATTTTAAACAGAAATTAATTTTATAGGATGTGCTCTTGGTTCAATTGTAATTCCATTTGAGGCTGGAGACTATAGCAAAATGGGCCATGACCCATTCTTTTCCTTCCCCAAAACTGTTTCCTGCCTGCTGTGTCCCAGCTTGGTACATGCAGAGTATGTTTAAAAATCCATTATTTGTTTTATTGGCCAGGACACTAATGGAGGCCTTCCATGACAGCTCTGTTTTACAAGCTGAATACTCTAATTAGGCTGGTTACTGATCAGTTGTTGGGATATCGATTGTGTCATTTATCAAAAAGCTGGAAAAGCAGATTTTTTTTTTTTTTTTAGTGGTAGTTGTTAATTTAAGACTGCCTGTCCCAGTAGATCCCAGTCTTTAATTTAGTAAGAGTAGTTTGTATCCGTGCAGGGCTTGATTTATCCAGCAATATACTTGCAAAAGGTAATAGATATGGAACTCTTGGCATAAGGAATAAGTGGTTAATCTCCCCAATGTACCTTAAAGAATTCTGGTACACCAGAGGCACATATAGTTGTTAACAAAGGTTAATAAAAAGACTCTGAATATACTATTCAACTGCAGGGGTATAGAGCACTATAAGGAGGAGGAGAAAACAGTTAGCATGTTATTTGGCCAGTGGCTACTTGAAAGAAAAGGAGCTTGAGGGTATGTCTACACTACAAAGTTAATTCGAACTAACGGATGTTAGTTCGAATTAACTTTGATAGGCGCTACACTAGCGCTCCGCTAGTTCGAACTTAATTTGAACCAGCGGAGCGCTTAGTTCGAACTAGGTAAACCTCATTTTACGAGGACTAAGCCTAGTTCGAACTTACTAGTTCGAATTAAGGGGTGTGTAGCCCCTTAATTCGAACTAGTGGGAGGCTAGCCCTCCCCAGCTTTCCCTGGTGGTCACTCTGGCCAACACCAGGGAAACTCTATTGCCCCCCTCCCGGCCCCGGACCCCTTAAAGGGGCATGGGCTGGCTACGGTGCCAGTGCCAGGTGCCAGGTGCAAGCCTACCAGCACCCAGCCAGCAGACCCTGCTCCTGGCACAGCTCGAGCCAGCCACCCGATGCCCCCCAGCTCTCCCCCTCTTCCCGGGACCAGGCTGGCGGCGCCC